TATATATATATATATACAATACCCACGTAGTTGCCTAGCTAGGCGTTATCGATAGACTACCTCGACCCCTAGTTTTTGCACAAGCTTTACTTTTAACTTGTGTAATTTTTCTGTTTTTCCCCGATGTGCCTATATACCTGGGCCAGGGATCTACTTACCAATTGCGCCTACGCTGGCTTGGCGATCGCTATTGATATATATCTAGCTACACATCCAGATATATATATATATATATATGTATATATATCTCTCTCTCTCTCTCTTTCCAATCGTAAATTAATTTTTTGACTATGCTATACGTACCTGCCAGCTTCCTATATTTTTGTGTATATATATTCTATAGCTACCTAGCAATGAATGTATACGGTCTCAGTGATCTAACTATTCTAGAGATCGACCAGCCAAACAACATTGAAAAGGATATACCCTTAAAACAGCCGCTGTGGTGTACCCATATATAATACCCGGCACTAGACTAGAGCTTTAACTCCTCTACGACCAGAACCAACCCGAACCCCCAAAGTAGTTACGCAAGATGCCGACCGACCCTGTACATTCGAATGGCTACATCTTCGTGTTGTTTTTCTTGGCAGGGTTCTTTGTATGATTGGTCAATGGTTTTCAGGGGAGATAAACCGAGGTTCGCACGGGGTTTCTGCACCTTGCATCACGGCCGGCACCCGATCCAGTTGCAGTCAGCGAGCAGTATTTGAACGCGTCGCACGAACCTCACGATGACGATCTCGAGGAGGAGGTCGACGAGGAGGCTGCAGCTGTTGCCTCGCCATCAAGTGGTGCTGGGGGCAGCAGGTTCTTGAGTAGCTTCTTGAATAAGAGGCGATGTCAGGAAGCGCAGGCCTCCGGGCAGGTAAAGAGGAAGCTTAATCTCAAGTGTAGCGAGAAGGAGCAGGCCACTAGTGCTGCTGGGTCTGCATCCATGAGCTACACTCCGCACTTGTTTTCCGAACGACGTGTTCACTATATCAGGGAGGCCCAGGCTGATGGCATGACATACAATGAAGCTAGGGCTTCGTGGAATCAATCCAAGCTTCGGGCAGACATGCTAGCTACGTTGTCTCTTCCAGAATTGAAGAGACGTCGTTTTGTAGGCAAGAGGTGCACCGCCAACCCTTTCCTCAGGGCGGCTGCTCTTGCCGGTGCCTAGATCGGTCAATCGATCGATGGATGCAGCAGAGACTGCCATGAAATTCACCAATTAGGTTTGCGTGTGTTTCTTCATACGCAGTATAATTTGAGGCAGGACGCAAAAGGACTGTGAGGCGCCATCATGCTGTACGTACAGCAGTCCCATGGTCATGTTATTCGTTGAAACCCTATATACCTGCATCTATCTCTCGAGCTCCTTTGAAGCAAACATTTTAGGGGCTATTGAACCACCTACCAGTTTATATACGGGATGGTGGTGGCTGAGCTGCTGCGAGCTGAAGCCCCGCCCATTTTGATTCTTGTGGTCTTGCTCCTCACCTTCAACGCCTGTGTCAATCTGAAGCAGGACCCGTACGTGGTGCACCGTAGCTAGCTTATATATAGTTAAGAACCTCGAAGCCATTCAGTCTAAGGTTCTATATAGTACAGAGAGAGAGAGAGAGGGAGAGATCCTAAACCCTAACATAAACCTGCTAATGAAACAAGTCTTCGAACAATGCCATCGACCAACCCTGAGCTAGGACCGCGAGTTTTTGGAGCTCTTTGCGGGCAACATGGCCGTCACAAAAGCCCTCCGAGCAGCCGCTTTGGCTTTAGATATATAGGAGCACAATGACGAGTGATCCCGAACCTAAGCCAACCCCTTCGCCCAGGCACGCCTCCGTGGAGTGGCCGTGGATTGGATTTTGGATGCGAAGACCATGAACCTCCTGGAACCAGCAGGCTTCTGGTGACTTGCCTAATGAACCACGGAATTGCTCAGGCAGAGGTTGCATCTCAGTTCAACAGTGTCCCAATGATCTAAGTCTTGCCGTGGTGGAGATTCTACGACTTCGGCCAGGGTCATTGGTGCTGATAGCTTTGGATTGCAGGTCCTTCAGCTCAATGTGCCTACATCAGCATTATTCAATTGGAGAGGCATCATACCGTAGTCAGTTGTGATTGAAGGGCACTGTTGAAACGAGGTCTCGGTGGTCTTCTGGGCGCTCGTTGATCCGACTTTGGGGTTACAAGGACCGGGAGTTTGTGGCCGCAGGTAACAAACTCTCCTCCAGGGTCGCCCTCCTCCTACACTTGTGCCAATGGCGCAACCTGCGGTGGCTACTGGAACAACCGGATGGGTCAATGCTTCCCCATCTACCCCGTTTTCAGCAGCTTTGGCAAAAGTTCCATGTGCCCAGGCATTTACAAGATTTGTGTCGACCTCGTGTACACTTGCATGTCTGTTATGGGGCCCTCCATATATAACCAAGGTCTACCAAGGTTCCTTCTGGATGGGGAAGTTCAAGGGCCCCACACCGAAACGCCATCGAATTTGGTCCTGCTGCTTCGACTTGGTTGATGGAATCCAAAAGAGAGCAGGCCACATGTTAAAGTCGGAAATGTCTGAGTTCAAGAAGACCCTCGTCCGAAGATACGAGGATAAGCTGGGACAAAAAAGGTACTCCGGGAAACAGAAAGAACTTCGAGAAAGCCAGATCCTTGGCTTTAAATTTACGTTTTGTCGAGCCCCTAACCCGGTGAATCGATGATCGCTCCTGTCCGTCGGTGGCCCAGGACATACACGGCGAACTTCGGCGAGTTCTTGGCTGGACTGCTTCAGCGGCTGCAACAGGCCAGTCGATATTGAATTTAAATATGCTACTAAATATGCTACACGATTAGCGCTAGAGCTAGTCCCCGAAAGCTCAAGCACTCCAGCTAGCTAGGTAGGTATAGGCAGGAGGGTAGTTAGATAGGTAGGTAGGTAGGTAGGTAGGTAAGAGCCAGGAAGGTAGCTGGGTTGGTCGGTAGGTAGGTGGGTAGGTAGGTAGGTAGGTAGGTAGGTAGGTAGGTAGGTAGGTAGCTAGTAGGTAGGTAGGTAGGTAGGTAGGTAGGTAGGTAGGTAGGTAGGTAGGTAGGTAGGTAGGTATAGGTAGGTAGGTAGGCAGGTACGTCGGCAGGTCGAGGTCGGTGGGTGGGTCGGTAGGTAGGCAGGCAGGCAGGCAGGCAGGCAGGCAGGTAGGTAGGTAGGTAGGTAGGGAGGGCTGGAGGGAAGGTAGGTAGGTATGTAGCGGCAGCACATGATGTTTTCGACAACTCTTCGACACAAAGGTCGAGACGATATCGTGAAGACGTGTCCGTACTTGCTACGACCTGATGCAGTTCTTAATTGCAATATAGTAGGTATGCTGCAGCACCCAATATACTCCTGCCTCAAATCCCTACCTTTGTTCTCAACAGGTGCCACTCATTGCCTCCACGACCTCGAAAACAGCTCCTACCTTGGATCACCGACTGTCGGACCTCGAGATGTTTCATGAATATTGCTTGAAAGCAGATGGAACGAAACTTTCTGGGGATCTGTGGCCAGATGCCACTCTTCTGGAATAAAGGTAGGTAGTTGGTAGGTCGGTTGGTAGAGGTAGGTAGGCAGGTAGGTAGGT